CTGCTTAGCAAAGCCATTTCATATAAGGTAAAGATGCTAAACATATGATGCTTGATGGACAGGAACATATGTATGCTGATGCCAATATTATAAGCTAATGACGTAAATGTATCAATGTTAGAAACGTATACTAAATATACACAGAAAATACGTAATGTAATAGTAAGTCACTTTTAATAACCTTGACATAACTAACAAATACTTTTATGCCTAAATATAATATACTCAACCTTCAACTGGTATATACTATTTCAGCTTAACTTGTATATCTTTTGGTCTCAGCTATAATTGAAGAATAGTAAATACTACCATTTGTCAAAGACCACTTACACATATTAATATTAATTATGACTAATCATAAAAACCACATATTTTGCAAGCTTGCCATCAATATAAGTGCCGAATCATAATTTAGATTTAACACTCCCATACACTATAAGATCTTCTCTGCACCCCCATCCATGCTCAGATCTTGCTCTGCCACTAACCACTTCCCTCTGCTCATTCCAATCATGATCCCCCCTAATCTGCTACACTGTCCTCCCTGGTGATAATAACCTTCTTGTGTGCTTCCTTACCTGCCAACCACAACCAGTTCCCAATCTACATTTATTTCCTCTCCCCAATCACAAAGGTCCAGGTTTAGCCTTCAAACCTCAAAGTTTCTACTCTGTCGCTCATATTCCCGGTACACAATCAGTTTAGACTGTGTCCTATGTGTCCTCCTCTCCAAGTCACAATTAAAGTGATATTAAAAACAGATTATTATTATTATTATTTTAAATAAAAATGACTATACTTCCCTCCTCTGTGCACTGGGTTTGCACAGAGCAACCCATTTCCTTCTCTTCTTCGGGTCACCTGCAGCTTGCTATGGGGGCACCTGAGCAGGCTCGCTCCTGAGCTGCTGCTCTGTGTGACCATTCGCACACACTGAGCATGACTCGGCCCATTCTCTCCTGATTGGCTCACTGGCTGTGATTACTGCCTCAGCCATCAAGGAGGGAGAGATCCAGGAGGGACAAGGCTTTTGTGCACATCGCTGGATCCAGATGGGGCTCAGGCAAGTGTAGGGGGGCTAAAGAGAGATCTGAATGGAGTTGGGTTTTGATGGATTGTGTTCTGTATACCCTCCCTTAGGGCCCGTTCACACTAGGAAGAGCTGCGTTCCTATTGCAATGCCCTTGCGATCTGCTGCGGGGTCAGTTCAAACATGACACACCCAAATGCAGGTTGCAAATGTCCTCACCGGCCCACACAGGATCACATGGTACCATGTAAATGGTTGCAGTGCATTTCAAAAAGGTAGTGCATGCATTACTTTTGGTGTGGTTCAGTTTCATCCCTTTCAAAATTAATGGAGCTGAAATCTCACTGCACAGAACTGCATGTGAATTGGACAGGAACCTCACAGCATTCCTGTGCGATTTCACATGCAGTTTCTAGTGTGGATGGGCCCTTAAACCTTGACATCATAATCATGAATTGGAATACATTTTGTAAAGAGCTATGAGAGCTGGGGCTTACCCAATGCTTCAGTGCCGAAATCCTAAAAATGTATTTTAAAATATTGGTGCGTGTAGAAATCACAGAACCCCATAGGAAAATATTGACATTACATCAATCCAGGGGCATACCTACAAGGATCACAGGGGTAACAATTGTGATTTGGCCCCATGCTCTAGGGGCCCATGCAGCTCCCCTGTATACCTGGATAGGAGGGGAGGCGGGGGTGACATGTAGAGGAAACGATCCCCTCCATTTTCCTCCTGCAGCCATTGAAAGCCTGCTTCTCCTTCTCTCCCTCTCACAGGCATTCAGTGGCTGCAGGAGGAAAGTGGAGGGGATTGATTCCTATATATGCCTGCCCCCGCCTCCCCTCCTATCCAAGTCCTGCTGCCCCCCGGGCCCTTGGGTACTCCCTGGCTCCTCCTCACTGCCGGAATCCCCCTTTCCCTCTCCCACCAGCTGCTGTGGGGGATGAGTCAGGATGGACAGTGGAAAAGAGGCCAGTAAATATGTAATTTACCAGCCCCTTCCTTTTCTGAATGAACAATCAGTGATTGGTACCGATCAAACTGTGTTTACTATGCTTCAGTTTGTGAATGAACAGGAAGCTCTGTACAAGGCTATTCCTGTCCATTCATTCTGTGCAGATGAAGATGCAGAGATGGAGATGGAGGGTTGTGTCCTCAATCTCCTTTCTCTGTCTCAAAGGTGGAACATCAGAGGTCTGTTTAGACCCCTGATATTTCAACAAAGTCCAACAGGGTTCCTCTCATGGTTTCTTGCACCAGGGCCCTGAGGGTTCTAGTTACTCCTCTGACAAGATCTATAATGTACCCCAATTGAAACTACTTAAACACTGAGGGTCTGAGGTAGGCAGACTATAATGCATTCATAGATCCCCGATTAGAAGCTTTACCATGTGTGACTTGAGTAGTCTGAACACAAGCTGTAGACATTCATTCAGTCTGAATGTGTCACTCCATGGACTTCAGGTGGAGGCAGGACTACTTTGTGGTTCAACTTTCACTTTGAAACTCAAAGCCAGCAATCAAGTATATTTTACTCATGCCATGGGAAAATGAAGGAATATAACAATCATACCTTTTTGAGCTCTCCACTTTCAGACATAAATTAGGCCCTCTCTACCCTTGTGTAGGCTGATCACAGGCTATTATATTTGTAGTAGTGTTCTTACCATATCTGTATTTTCCAGTTGATTAATTGATTACAATGTTGCAAGTAGACTGGTAATATAGAAACATATAATAAAATAACAATTTATTTTCTTACAGAACTTCATACAGAAAAAGCTCCCTTTCATCAGTTTGCAGAAAAAATGAACATGGAACCACACCTGACTGCAAAATTGACTCTGAGGGATATCTTGAGTATTGGCTTAGATAATGTGCATGACAAACCTCCTAAAACTATAGAGGATCTTCCCGGGAATTACTTAAGGAAACTCATGGCCTTAAACAGGGCTGCAAGAGATGTTCTTCTTGAGAAAGAACAATCTACTGGTGTTGACATATATGATAATGGTGATGATGATGATGATGACAACCTATTTAATGCTTCTTTGATTACAGGTGACAATTCCTCAGCCTCCATTCACCCCCTGGATGTCCTGTGTCTTCTCCTGCATTGCTCAGACAGTTTTCTGCAACAAGAGATTGTAACCAAATTGTCCATGTGCCAGTTTGCTGCCCCTCTGCTGCTCCCTTCTGGTGACGGGTCACACTGCACCCTCATGCTTTGGGCAATGAGAGACATAGTGAAGAAGTGGAGACCTCAGTCATTAGCAGACAGTAAAGGGTTCAGAGAAGAAAATGTGGTGAATACTTCCATGCCAATCTTTTCTTTTGTCAGAACTGGAAAAAACAAATTATCCAAATCAAAAATCCTGAATCAAGTTCTTAATCCACCTCAGCTACATAATAACTTCTTCATACATGACAATATGGAAGGAGGAAACATTAAGAGGGAAATATCTGATGGACTGGTAGAAGTTTCCTGGTATTTTCCCTGTGGTAAGTCTGATGTTTTCCCAGAACCCATCACAGTGACCAACCTACGAGGAGACCTGGAGACCAACTGGGACCAGTTCATGTTTCTGACAAGAATTTCATCAGCTGTGTTTACAATTCATTGAGGATATTTCTGAGAGAGAATTCAGATTGCTATCATCCTGCCCTACCACTGACACCCAGTATTACTTCATCATTTCTCCTGGTCCTGGCAAAACTGTGAGTACACAGACACTGAAGACCCTTCAAGACTTAATGCCAGTTCTAAAGATGAAAAAATCAAATGTGATAATACATGCAGGCACAGCAAATGAGGCGACATTTGTAAAAAAAACTACAAAGTACTATTATTCAATTTCTTAAACAGTAAGCCAAAAGAAAATAAAATGAGAGACCTTGAGAAAGAAACTCATGGATTGGACATCCAAGTGGATGAGAGAGTTCCTGAATGTCAGAAGGCCAGGGAACTTGCCAGGAGAATTACAGGAGAAATAAACAAACGTGTCTGAGTATAAGAACATCACTATGAAGTTACAGGGAGATCTCTGGAGAGAGTTATCTAATGTGGAAAAGGAACTTTGCAGAATGACAAGGCAAGGTGGTAAAGACACACAACATTATCAAGATGAACTGATGAAGAAACGTATTTCACTGCGTGAGGAACAACATAAGCATGATCTGCCCCATGGTATAATGCTCTTTATTGATGCAATCACTCATTTGTCTGAGATTGAGAAACAATATTTTCTGAAATGGATGAAATTTGAACTTGATTCAATTGCTAGAAATCATCTTTCTAATCTTCAAGCTGAATACAAAGAAAAATGTAACAAACTCTTAATCAATATGGAAGAACTCAGACAGATAGACCTGAAAATCTCTGACAGTTCTTTAGGAATTGAACATTTTCTACGTGAGATGGGACAGTTTTATGAAGCTGAATGTTTCATGGCTAAAGAAAACAAAATACATAAAAGCCAAAGACAATTTGCTGGACTGCCAGGAATTGCTGCCAATCTCTTGTTGAATGGTTTCCCATTGGAGCTAATAGATGGAGATGCCTCCAACATTTCCCTACGGTGGTTATCTGATGTTCTAAAGGAGCTGGACACCAAAACAGGGGGGGGAATGCAGAATGAGAGTAATCACTGTGCTGGGGAGTGCAGAGTACAGGAAAATCCACTCTTCTCAACACCATGTTTGGTCTGCAGTTCCCTGTGGCCAGTGGAAGATGCACACGAGGAGCCTTCATGACTCTTCTTAATGTGAAAAAGAACTTCCAGGAGGAGCTGCGCTGTGACTTCATCCTGGTGATTGACACTGAGGGGCTGAAAGCTCCAGAGTTGGCTTCCTTGGAGGGCAGTTATGAACATGACAATGAAACTGGCCACACTAGTGGTTGGGTTGAGTGAGATCACCATAGTCAACATGGCCATGGAAAACACAACAGAAATGAAGGATATCTTACAGATTGTGGTTCATACTTTTCTTAGAATGAAAGAAATAGGAAAGAGACCCAACTGCCAGTTTGTACATCAGAATGTGAGTGATGTGTCTGCTTATGACAAGAACATGAGAGACAGGAAGAAACTTCTGGAACATCTGAATGAAATGACAAAAGTAGCTGCTGAGATGGAAAACAAAAGTGAAATCAAAATTTTCAGTGATGTGATGAATTACAATCTGGAGAAAGACAACTGGTACATTCCTGGGCTCTGGCTTGGGGTCCCACCAATGACTCCAGTAAATTCTGGGTACAGTGAACATGTGTCTGAATTAAAAAAGTATTTATTGGAATTAATGACAAGCAAAGAATCACTGCACAAGCCTTTACAAATTGCTGAATTTATAGAATTGATAGAAAGTTTATGGAACGCTGTAAAAACATGAGAAGTTCATCTTCAGTTTCAGGAACAGCCTGGTGGCAGAGCTTATAATAAACTATTAATACGATACTCGCAGTGGGAATGGGAGTTCAGAAAAGCCGTCCATGATTGGATGATCCGTACAGAGACAAACATTAAGAATCAGACTGCAGAGAGTCTAAGTGATGAACTTTGCTATATATTGAAGAATGAGCTCAACAGTTTGTTGATTAATAAGAGAGAAAGTGAAATGTTGAAATTGGCTGGAAAACTATTTTGATCAAAAAAATGAAAATGTTCATCTAATAGAACGATACAAACAAGATTTTATTCTGAGCACAAAACATTCCTGAAGGAGGAATTGAACAGGAATTCTCTTGTGAAGTTGGATGAGGCTGTTTCAATTCAGAAAGGAAAATTTGAGATTCAGAATATGAAAAATAATTCCCAGAAATTGATTGAAGACAAAATCACAGATCTCCTCAGGAGGTGCGGGAGAAGAAAGAAAAGCTGAACAATGAGGCGTTTAAAGAGAGAATTTGAGGAGATGTGGAAGAGGACACTGACAGACCTACAGATTGAGAAATTAAAAAACGCACATTGTCAGTAGATCTATGTTACATCAGCTAATGAATGACATGAGTAATAAAGGATCGGCTGTAAAATGAAACACTTACTGGGTGTGAAGGATCCAGCTATCGCTCAACCTGATTTCCAGATGAATGAGAAATATATTGAGAGTGGATGGTTCAAGAAACCTGAAAGATTCAGTTTTGCATAATTTAGGTGTTAGACCTAGAAAGCAGCATTTTGACAAAATAAATGATTTTGCTCATTCTCTTATACAGTTGTGTCCAAAATTATTCAACCCCCAATGCTGTAAAAGGGGTTTAGGGACTATAGTGTACATTTGGAATTGTATTCAGAATCAAAATCCTACAAGGACGTTGTAACTACCCAAATGCAACTAAAATGACATCAATTGTTTATGTAATACAGGTAGTAAATGGTTTTCTTATGTGGTTTCTTTCTTCATTGCCACAATTATTCAACCCCTTAAAGACTACCACTCTGAAGAACAGAGGTTCATACAGGTGCTTTCCATCAGGTATTGAAAACACCTGTGAGAGGTCACCGAGCAGCAATCAAGCATAATAAGCACCAATTAGGCAGCTTTAAAATGACTGTGATACTCAGCTCCTTCTAGACATTTACTGGTGTTGGTTACAAACATGGTGAAGGCAAGAGAATGGTCCAGGAAGACCAGAGAAGAGGTGATTTCTCTTCACAGGAATGGGCAATGGCTATAAGAAGATTGCAAAGATGGTTACAACAATCACATACCAAGAGACACCTTAGGAAGCATTCATTCGCAAATTCAAGGCAAAGGGCACTGTTGAAACGCGTAACCTGGTCGTGGCAGAAAAGAAGATGCTGACTTCCGACTGGCTGTGCGCTACCTGAGCGTAGAGTGGAGAGAAGTCCCCGTGTGACTGCTGAGGAACTGAGAAAAGATGATTTGTCAGATGTGGGTACAGAAGTTTCAGCCCAGACAATAAGACGCACACTGCGTAATGAAGCCTCCGTGCCAGAACTCCCAGGCGTACCCCCTTGCTGTCTCCAAAGAATAAGAAGAGTCGACTGCAGTATGCCAAAAGCCATGTGGACAAACCACAAAAGTTGTGGGATAGTGTTCTGTGGACTGATGAAACAAAATTAGAACTGTTTGGGCCATGATCCAACGCTATGTTTGGAGGAGGAAGAACAAGGCCTATGATGAAAAGAACACCTTGCCTACTGTGAAGCATGGTGGAGGGTCAATCATGCTTTGGGGCTGTTTTGCTTCTGCAGTACAGGGAAGCTTCAGCGTGTGCAAGGTACCATGAATTCTCTTCAGTACCAGGAGATATTGGATGGAAACGTGATGCAGTCCGTCACACACCTGAGGCTTGGGAGACGTTGACCTTTCAACAGGACACATGATCCAAGCATACCTCCAAGTCCACTAGAGCATGGGTTGCAGAGGAAAAGGCTGGAACATTTTTGGAGTGGCCATCGCAGTCACCAGACTTAAAATCCGATTGAGAACCTCTGGTGGGACTTAAAGAAAGCAGTTGCAGTGCGCAAGCCTAAGAATGTGACTGAACTGGAGGCCTTTGCCCATGAAGAATAGGGCGAAGATACCCGTAGATCGCTGTGCAAGACACTTGTGTCAAGCTATGCTTCACGTTTAAAAGCTGTTATAAACTGTAAAAGGATGCTGTACTAAGTACTAAGATTGAATGTCACTTGGGGGTTGAATAAAACTGATAATGCTGTGAGCACAGAAAAGACATTTGTGGTTATTTCATTTATAACGGTTATGTTTATATTTGTCTGACCTACAAGTGCCTCTTTAATGTAAATGTAAGCAAGATGACTGAATGATCAAAAGCAATGTCAAACTGGCCAAAAACACTCATTTCAGTGGGGGTTGAATAATTTTGGCCACAACTGTAGATAACTGTGACAAATATATCACAGGGGAAGGTGAGGACTGGAGAGGACTATTGTGAACAACTACTGCCTGGAATTACTTCTCATATGATTACAAAGAGATTCTAAAACAGTCCAAAAGCCTTCATTTGTTTCCACATGGTTTGAACTGGATATCAAGCTTCACATTCTTAGGAAAGCTTCCAGAGAGTTTTTCAGGAGATGCATGAGAAAATTCATTCAAGAGAACGATCCAAAACTGTGTTTGGAGAAACTAAAGCTTGGATATTTAGAAACATTTATCAGTCTATTTCAAGAGAAAGATATTTGTCAGAAGAAAGCCAAAGAATTCTGTGATCGATGCCTAAAAACCTGCAATGAGGGATCATGTTTTCCACCATCTTGGCAAAAAATAATGGATAGCATAGTAGAGAGTTCAGACAACAAGAAATTCAGCAGAACATTTTTTCAAAATTTCTTACTAAAGGAGCTGCTAGAAGAAATGTCCTTTCAGAAAATATTTGAGGTATATACTGTCATATGAGGAATATACAAGAGCCCGGATACTGAATTACACTGAAACATATGCCACACGACCCCAAATCCTAAAACCATTACAAGAAGATCTGCTCTCTTCACTGGACACAAAGATAAGATCGGCTCTTACTGAAGACAACTCTCTTAAAAGTTTATCAGTTTCAGATTTTTTGAAAAGTGTATGTGAGATCTAAAGGAAGAATTAGTAATCCCACAGACTGCAATGCAAGTGATCACTTTCCAGAACACGGCTGATGTTGGCCAATTTTCATCTGACATTCAGCTCTTCCTCCAAGATACAGAAACAGAAGTCTTATCAGAGCTGCAATCTATGGATATAAAGTCTGTACTCTCCAGGGTGGAGGTGAAGCCTGAGGATGAATTGTTCAGGAAGGTTGTTGGCTGTGGGAAGCAATGTCTATTCTGTGGTGTCCCCTTGTGAGGCCGGAGGTGATGAATTCAGGAGCACTTTGCTACCATCCACAGACCTAGAGGCCTGGGAACATACATATTGGTTTATACTCAAATCTTAGTCACTGATATATATGTAGTACAGGTGTTGTATCCAGGGGCATATTTGTCGTGAGGCAAACAAGGCATTTGCCTAGGGCAGCACTTTTTAGGGGGGCGGCGCAGTTCCAACGGAAGGGACATTTAGTACAGGGGCTGCTGTGTCTTACCTGGCTCCGGTCCCAGTCCCATGACGATCCAGTCCAGGAAGCGCTGCTGGAGGAGGGGTAGAGAGGTCCACAGGTCTGGTGCCTGGGCGCGATGTGTGGGCGGGATGACACCCTCTGCAAGCTCCGCCTCCTCACGGTGATTGGGCGCCAGGACTGTAGCTCAGGAAAGCAACAGAGGCGGCCAATCACCGGCGGCGAAGGTTGTCAGTTGGAATAGTGCCCCATCAGTGGGAGTGGGGAATAGTGCCCCCCCATCATTGGTATCAGTGGGTGTGAAAAATAGTGTCCCATCATTGGTATCAGTGGGAGGAATAGTGCCCATCATTGGTATCAGTGGAAGGAATAGTGCCCCATCATTGGTGTCAGTGGGAGGAATAGTGCCCCATCATTGGTGTCAGTTGGAGGAATAGTGCCCCATCATTGGTATCAGTGGGAGGAATAGTGCCCCATCATTGGTGTCAGTGGGAGGAATATTGCCCCATCATTGGTGTCAGAGGGAGGAATTAGTGCCCCATCATTGATGTCAGTGGAGGAATAATGTCCCATCATTGGTATCAGTGGGAGGAATAGTGCCCCATCATTGGTGTGTCAGTGGGGGAGGAATAGTGCCCCATCATTGGTGTCAGTGGGAGGATTAGTGCCCCATCATTGGTATCAGTGTGAGGAATAGTGCCCCATCATTGGTGTCAGTGGGAGGAATAGTGCCCATCATTGGTGTCAGTGGGAGGATTAGTGTCCCATCATTGGTGTCAGTGGGAGGAATAGTGTCCCATCATTGGTGTCAGTGGGATGAACAGTGACCCATCATTGGTGTCAGTGGGAGGAATAGTGCCCCATCATTGGTGTCAGTGGGAGGAATAGTACCTCATCATTGGTGTCAGTGGGATGAAACAGTGCCCCATCATTGGTGTCAGTGGGAGGAATAGTACCTCATCATTGGTGTCAGTGGGAGGAATAGTGCCCCATCATTGGTATCAGTGGGAGGAATAGTACCTCATCATTGTGTCAGTGGGGTGAATAGTGACCCATCATTGGTGTCAGTGGGAGGAATATTAGTGCCCCATCATTAGTGTCAGTGGCGGAGGAATAATGTCCCATCATTGGTGTCAGTGGGAGGATATAGTGCCCATCATTGGTATCAGTGGGAGGAATAGTGCCCATCATTGGTATCAGTTGAGGAATTAGTGCCCCATCATTGGTGTCAGTGGGA